ATATAAAATTGTAGTCTCAATGATATTAAAATTACACTGATACAAAGTGTATTTTACAAGTGTACTTTACCGAACCAAGAGTATTTCCACAGTTAATACATTTTCAGTCTATTATAACGTAATTATGTGAACTAATGATTGATTTTTTTATTAAATTGTATTGTGTAGCTTGCAAAATATTTATTAAAGGGTAAATTAATTAAGCTTTGCAGATCCACTTCTTTCTCATTAGTCCCTGCTAGCTGGACATCTGCAGCTGGAGTGGCTCACCTTAGAGAGCAGTTTGGTGAGGTCCTCAAACAGGTTGGAGCAGTAAAAGTCACAGTCATAATTTATGTAGAGCTCTGTGACAAAGCTGGGGATTCTCCAGAGCTGTACGACAGCCTCCAGGGCCATCTCCTTCATCTCATAGGGCATTTTAGGGTTCTCTGAGGTAATTATGTCCATTAGCTTCTTCAGGTACATCTATGGAGACATACAAAGAGTGACTTCCTACATCTGAGATAGCTTATATCTCACCACAGAAAGATCATCATTCAGTCACGTACCTCAAGCTGAAACTTGAGATGTTCTCGCATGCCTTCAAAGAGAAGAAAGCACACACGTATGGAGGCGGCATACAGATTCATTCGGTCCACACCTAACAACTACAAAGATAGACACAGAGAATATTTACTACAGCTGAAAACATCAGACAAACACACAAGTTAGATTAGAGAAGAACTAAGTTTCACCTGTGTGAGGTGCCTACAGAGCTCATCTTTGACAAGACAGAGCAATGACTGATAGGGGGCGATGTGTGCAGCTTCTAGGGCCACGTTCAACAGCTGGAGGCCCATGTGCATCATCACATCTGAGTTATGGCGGTCATGTGGGTTGGTGAGAGAGATGAGGAACCGGAAGAGCTCTCTCAGGCATGGGAGACTGTATGGGATTAGAGCAGCACCTGGAGAAACACAATGGTACAGTCATTTTGACGTCCGAGTCTTTGACGTAAATTCTGGATACACTATTTCTCTTACCCTCTTTCTGGGTGGACTGCGTAAAGCGCACTCCCCTGGGGTTCACGTAGTCTGAATCCGACTGATCAGCCAGCAAGTCTCGGTCTTCCAGGACTTCAGGAATGGACTCCACTGAGGCTGACTGGGCACGCTCCACTTCCCTACCCTCAGACTGATGACACAGTGCACCATCCCATCAAGCTCAGAACACATACACTTGGATAGTTTATTGATGGTCTGAGGGATACCTGTGATTCCAGTCTGCCTGGCTCTGCGGAGGGTGTCACGGGAGTGGTGGCCGTTGAGCTGCTCTGCTCCAGGTCTGTGAGATCTTCCTTTGATGTGGTTTTAGAGCCGGTGTCTAAGCCACTATCAGTGGTAGGACTGGAGATGGAGGAAACTGCACTGTCTGAACCAGGAAGAGTAGAAGAACCTCCACTGTGCTGCTCAATGAAAGGAACTCCATCTGAAACAGACACACTGGGATGAGGACAGGGTGACAGGACATGCTTTTCTTCTTAACATCAAAACAGGATGATATACTGATTGCTCATAGGATGAACATGATGGCAAAATACACTTTACACAAAATAAATTTTAGTGAAGGAATTCACAATTTATTGTTATTCGAGATATTTTAAGTTCAAAAGCGAATTAAAAAGTGAATGTTTCAAAAAAACTGATTCATTTAACTCTGACTCAACTATTTGTTTGAGTCATTGCTCAATATATAATGAAGTAAAAAAATTCAGTAAAAATTTTGTAGGTAAATACTGCTACTACAAAAGTTTGGAGTCATTAATATTTTTTTTAAAGAGAAATTAATGTTTCTCTGAAGCACGGCTGCATTAAATTGACCAAAAGTGCAAGTAAATACATCAATAATGTTACAAAAGATCTTGGTAATACTTTACAATAAGGTCCCATTTGTTAACATTAGTTATTGCATTAACTAACATTAACAATGAGCAAGACATTTGTTACTGTATTTTTTTATCTTTGTTAACGTTAGTTAAAAATACAGCTGTTCATTGTGTTAATTCATGTTAGCTCAGGTCCATTAAATAATATTAACAGAT